CTATTTCACAAATGTTGCTCTGTCAGTACTACCATAGGTCAGTAATATATAGAGCCTCCTACATTTTATTTTCCCAAATCTGAATTTCTGACTGTTTTTACTAGTATTAAAGCACTTTATCAAGGGATGGCAAATGGCTTTTATAGAGATACTAGTTGCTGACGCTCACTTAAATCTGTTTTGAGGGTGTTTTCCTGCATTTGATATGTTGAAGATGTTTTATTCTTTTGGCAAAGAAATGCCTTAAAAATGGAACTTGGACTTGCGTTTCAGGCTTCTCAGTGGTTGGCATAAAAAACCATAATCTGCTGAATGTAGCTTCAGAGATGAAGCTTATTTGCTGATCCCACTGAAGTAATTTATGTATTTAATTAAAATTTTCATAGCCCTTGGAAATTATACATTTTTGAGCAATAACTAACAAATGAGCCGTTATTCCTTCTTAAAACTTCAATTGTGAAACCTTTTAGGATGATTTAAATACATGTTATTTTTTCTGGGTTTACTGGGCAAGCTGTAAAGCAGTTAAGAAATTTAGAGGGGAGAAAAAGGAAAGTTATTCTGTGACTTGAAATTAAAAGTTTATTTGATGTAGCTTTAATTTCATATAAAAGCTTGATTTCTGTCTAGGAATACTGTGAATCGTTAAAAACCTCTTTTTTAGCCAGCTCTCACAGGTAGAAACACAAACCAGGATGTGAGGCAGTATGCATGAGAGCACATAGGAAGTTTCCTACAGGCTTTGAGCGATGGAGTCCCAAGAGTTAAGAATGAAGCTGTGTTTGTTCTGTAACAGATACGGCTATCCGTCACGACTGATAATGGGAATTACAGCTGTGCTTCCAGGACTTCACTGAGATACTTAACATTCAAGATGTCTGATGAAAGGAAGTGGAATTTAATACCTTTCCCTTTTCTTCAGTCTAATTCATTCATCTGGTGGTCAGGTTAAATAAGAAACAGAACTTCAGGATTTCTCACTCTCGGGAGGTTTTATTTTTTCTTTCTTTCTTTGAAAGATTTTCCCCCAAACCTTTACTGTTTGTTGATCAAATCAGATGACAAGTACCTTGTGCCTGCCATTGCTAGCATTGGCACAGGATGAAGCTTTAACCATTTTTACCTTAATACTTACAATTCTGTTTCTAATATACTACTTCATGTATGTGCTAATAGCAAGGGGTTGGGAGAGCGAAGATTTCATGGTCTACCGACATTACCTGATATATGCCATTCATGAAATGAACTGGAATACTGAAGGGCAGTGAATGGTGGTAAGGATTTCTTAGGAGAGTGGAAAGGATTTCCATTCTGGAAGGTCTGGCTTCTCGGTCTCCATTCTGCTGGGTACGCTCTACACATCGCTGACAATATATTGCGTATTTCCCAAATTCAGTCCTGTGACAAAGAGAGAAATAAAACAGTTCTTGGAGACTGATTGAAAGGGTAGTAAACTGTGAGTAAATCTCTCTGGGGATGCCAGATGGGGAGGAGTACTCAGATTTCACACTGTGATTTCCAACTCATTTTGTCATGTGTAATTGTAAAGAGAATTAGTCTACAGAGGTGAACAAAACTGTGCCAAAGACAAACATGGCTCAGAGTGTTTGGTGTAACTGCCATATTTTGGTTTTTATAGTTTTGCAACATTCAGTCAGAGTGTTTTTCAAAACAAGTTAACTTTCCCAAGTGGTGCATAAAAGTGTAACGTACTACATCTTAGTAGCACTGGAGCACAATTCTACTCAAATTTATACTAAAATATATGTCAAAAGATCTGAAATATTAAATGAAAGCTGGAAAATAAGATACTTAAGAAAAACTAGTTGACTAGCTGGGTAACAATATTTAGGCACACCTGGAATCTGCATTCTTCTTTAAATGAAGTTTAAGAAGCCACAGGAATGGGTGCTGGGGCAGAAAAAGTCCAACGCAGAGAGCCAAGAGCTGCAATCCCTGGACAAAAGGAAGACATTCACTGTTTTAAACATCATACAAAGTAAAACTTCCCACTGTGGCTGCTGGCCAGCAGTGCGGCTTACTGTGCCAAGCTGAGTAACAGACAGAGGTAAATATGAATAAAACCACAAAACATAAGAGAAAAAGCTGAAAAAATAAGCATATCACCTCATTGGAAGGCCCAAATGCTCTCTTTCTATTTACCTGTGTACAGCAAGTTTCTTTTGGGGCTGGAAATGGGAAGCAGATCAGTTTGTATAAAAAGCAGTTAATATACAGAAAACAAAAAAATATTAAGGCTGCAAAGCTAAGCAGTAAGAAATGAGGAGAAGCTGATCTTCTACAGCAGGCAGTTCTTCATTCTCCCAGTCCCTGCTTTTGCCTTCTGTGACTTGGGCAGTGTGGCTGGAGCACTCGCTGGTGAAGACCAGGGCAAAAAGGCTGTTGAGTCTTCTGCATGTTGCTGGTAATCAGGTCTCCCATTTCCTTGTGGAGAGGGCCCACATTTTAACTTGTCTTCCTTTTATCACTGACATACTTACAGAAGGTTTTCTTGTCGCCCTTGTCATCCCTGGCCAAATTTAATTCTAACAGGGCTTCAGCTTTTCTAACCTGATCCCTGGCCGCTGATATAATTTTTCTGTATTCCTCCCAGACTACCTGGTCCTTGCTTCCACCCTCTGTAGGCTTCCTTTTTGTATCTGAATTTGCCCAGCAGCTCCTTGTTCATCCATCCAGGTCTCCTGGTGTTTTTGCTTGATTTCCTCTTTGTTGGGATGTGTCACTCTTGAGCTTGGAGGTGATCCTTGAATATTAACCAGATTTCTCGGGCCACGCTTCTTCCCTCCAGAACTTTATCCCATGGTACTCTACCAAGCAGATCCCTCAAGAGGCCAAAGTCTGCTCTCCTGAAGTTCAGGGCAGTGAGCTTGCTGCACGCCCTTCTCGCTACCCTAAGGATCTTGAACTCCACCATCTCATGGTCACTGCAGCCCACGCTGTCCTCCAGCTTCACATTCCCCACCAGTCCACACATAAGAATATGCATTTACAATCTAACATGCACAGTGCATGCAGAGCAGCATGACATAGAAGAGGTGACATCAATCAGAAACCCTGAGCATATCTGAGATTCCAAAACATGGCAATACAGCTTTTCTTCATGCTCATCCTATAGAGACATTTGCCATGTGGTTTAGCCCACCAAACTACCTGATGCAGCACCTCTCCTAGGAAGGATGCAGTGAAAGAGGATTAGGTTCCATACATGATGTCTTACTCAACACATAACTTGAAGATAGTCTATTGTATGTCCAGCCTTTAAAATCAGCATAGGTATACTGTATCACTTTGATGGAGGATAGCATCAGCTTTGTTTCAGGAAGACACAGCAGTAATAAGATGTTAGTTCAGGTTTTTATGATTTTAATTAAGCAGATACTACAAAAGAGCGGAGCCTCTTTGCCATTCTGAACAGTCTTTTCAGTTCCTTCTCTGCTGCTGAAATAGACACCGTTAAAATGCATGTTGGGTTACCTGTATTGGTCCTGCTTGGTTTTGTGGATGTCGACGTCTGGTCTGTTTAATAAGCTGACAACAGATCTCATTTTGAAGTTCAGGATGTGTAAGACATATCTGCAAAGCACTTTGGGCCAAAGATACATGGTAATCAATGGCAGGAGAGTCAACTGCAGCATTTATAAACAACTGGCAGGTCTAGATATAAAATAATAAGCAAGTGAGTTTACATGCAAAACGGTCCAATAAATCTTTTAGACGTTCTGTATAATAAAAGTGTGCTATAATTGAAGTCACAATTAGTAGACTAAAGGAACCCTCCTGGCCCTGCAAAAAAAGGGGTGACAAGAGGCCAGAATAGTGAAAAGCTATACAGAGAGACATAACACCTCTTAAAAACCTTTTCACTCTGTATCTCATGACATGAGCTCCAGCAGGAGTTGCAACAGCTGTGGTAGTAGGCAAGTTTAAAGACATGCTAAACACAGTTTACCTCTCCCCAGGCCTTTAAAACACTAACCGTACAACTATCTACAGCCAGTGTAAAATGCTTGGGCAAGCAGTAAGTGCAACATAGCAGAATATGCACAGATAAGAAAACTGTAACTCAGCCATTTGTATTACATTTTGGCTTTCATTGGTATTTTTACTGTGTACAGCCTTTCTTATGCACAGTACTGCCTTAGGAAAGACAGGTATTAAGCATTTATTTTGCTCTATTAGAACAAAGCTTACATGTCACACATTGCATTTATTCTACACAATAGTTGTTGAATTGTCAAGGTATATAAGCAAAATTAAAGAAATGGATGGAAGTCCAATCTATTTCTAGTCTATCTGAAAATATGTGGATGCACAGCAGTAATTTTTATCAGCAATAGAATAACTGAAACGTGACTGAAAAACATTTCTAAATCAGTTCCTTACCTGACTTTTAAACTGATTTATACAAAGTTTCAGTAAAGATCATACAAGTAATCTCTTATTTATTTCAGGCAAGTGTCTGTGATTTGAATTAGTCTGAAATGCGTTTCAGAAAGTGATTTCCAAATAGATACAAATTTATTTGTATCGAGGAATTACATTCTCTTTTAATTTTTCATGCTGCGGGATTGCAGAAAATAAGATAGATGTACTTTTTTAAAGTGTTCCTAACATTTCAGGGAAACAAGCTGGGAAGTTTATCTACAAGTGGCTGTGACTGAACATAATGGTGCTTGTCTTGAATTCCTTTCTAGATCCAAATCATTACATCAAAATTCTCCAGATAGTTGATGCTTCAGGGAGTTTGGTCTTTAGACTTGTATAAATTCTGTGGAATAAGTTCATTTATCCAAGGTGCATGCCTTCCAACTTGTAATTTATTTCACAATGTACAGAAAAAGGCAGAGCAAGAATTTACTTTGTCTCTGAAACAGACTTTGTAGCCTGGCTATTAGTTAACATTCAGTAGTTTTAGCTGGGTGAGGGTAGGAGAGAGGAGAAAGAAGGTTAATGGCACCACAGCATACTCCCTCCCATAGATATCAATCACCTATCTGGCCTTTAACTGGGAAAGATACGAGGTCTTACTGGGATACAGAAATTCTCAAGAAGCCAGCTGTGGCACAGCAGTTATGAACCATTGCATGTCTCTTAATCACAAATCCATTTCACTACTACTGGGAGATTTACACGTGTATTTTTACAGGTGTATGAAAATCTTTAGAAGTTAATTAAATAAACTATTGTGAAATACTGTCATTAATTTTGCTCTCTAGTATTTTCTCTATCACTATAGCTACTTCATATGAAGAAAAGATTTTTTTTCATTAAAAAGAGCAGTAGAATCTCTTGCCTTCTATCTCAATTTGAAATAATCCATGATCTGCTTAAACTGAAACTGTGCTTTGTTTTTCATCAGATTTTTAAAATTTCTTCTAGCAGATTTAAATATATCTACAAGAAAATTTTCACTTACCATTTGCTCTTCCTGAAACCTAACTGAAAAATTAGTATTTGAGGTACAATTCTCTGAATACAGAGATCCATCCATGCTGTTAGGTTCTCTGGGGCTTATGAACTTCATGGTAAAATTATCATTCATGATGGCTGTGGATTTTTCTACTAACTTTCAATAACCTCAGTAGAAAGGCCAAAAGTTGAGGCCTAAACTGCTCCCTCACACCTAAAAGTGATCTCTGCATTGGAAGTGATTGCATTTGGAGAGGTCATATGGGGACATTCTGCTACTGTCCATTAGTTACCTCCACTGAAGAGTAAATGTCTCTTTTCTTTTTTCTTATCTATAGAATATCTCTAGTAAGCCAACTAATACTTATACTTTAGCAGAGAGTTAAAATAGTAAGTTGGTTAATGAAAAAGGCATTTGCTATGGTTTTACCTTAAATAATTTAATTGCTTCAGTTTGCAAGGCTTCTGATGGCAGTGTTGTAAGAGGGGAAGCAATTCCTTCTTTGCTGTGGCAAAGGGTAGGGTGTCTCCAAATCTGAGAAGCTAAATGAGTAAAATATATCGGTTTTGCAATTAATTCAGGACATAAGTATATTTAGTAAATAAGTATTAGAAGATTAGTATGTTGAAACAAAAACAAACTTACTGATATCACCTTCCATATTTAGTAATTTGCAAATAAGTTGCTCAAACTCAGATCCAACATTTACACTGGTACTTCCAGCTGCAACTGTCAGATGATAAAGCCACATGTCCTAGAGGAGAAAAACACAACAGCTCAATCATTCCGTGTTGGAAGGAACTGCTTCACTGGGACTTTGCTCTCAACTTGAAACACTACCATGTGCTCCTGTTGAACCCCAAAGGAGTTTGCCTCTGAATACACCTGTATGCATGTCTCTATGTTACAAATATTAAGCAAGGAAGGTTGGACAGTGCTCTTATCCTCAGCAGTCATGGCTAATATCAGGGAATTCTTCCTTTCCTCTTTAAAAAGCTAACATAAGTGCCTTTTTTACCACTGGCAGATCCTGCTAACCTGGGGATAAGGCCAGAAGGCAAAATTGAGTCTACAAGATTGAGAACAATGAAACAATAATAATAAAAATTGTTTTAACCATACTTCTTATTACTCCTTCACTTCAGTAGGAAAATCTTCCCTACTGTTAGCCGTATCAGTGAAAATAGATGCCAGCATCTCAGAACCAATCAGGAAGGTCTACTATAGGTCTGTCTGCAAGTTAATGTAATGTGAAGAAAATTCTCCAGTTGCAGTATATTTGAGATACTGTAGCCAAACCAGCTTATTTTCATCTGTTTTAAAAAGGATAACCTATAATGGCATTGGTTCACAGACAAACTCTGTTTGATGTTAATGAACCAGGGCCGTCTCCTTGCTTATTGTATCAAACTATGAACCAGATGACTTGTAGGTCCCCCTCTTCCTCCTCTTTAAGAAATATTCATATCACAGCACCATACTCGTAGACGTGTTACTGAAACTCAATTAAAAAGTCCTTTTATTACCTTCTCATGTTTGGATCCTATAAGAAGATAAGTGGGTCCTTGATCTTTGGGGTGGATAACAACGGTGTAATGTGTAGATAATAAACTGCGACCACTAGTCTCATAATCTTCATCAGAATCGCAGGATCTATCAACTTCTTCAACCTTTGCCTCAAAAAGCTTGATTTGACCAAGAGGAAACTAAAAGTAGATAGCAGAATTGGTGAGAGAACAAATATTTACTTCAGTGCAGAGAGGTTTTATATTTCTTATTCTACAAATAGAAAGAAAAACATGAACTACCATCAATGCCCATTTGTATTTATGAATTTTCAGTCCTGCCAAGGAATGCCAGATAAGCCTGCTGTTGCAGACAGCAGAAGGAGAATGATATATGCCAAAGTCTGAAAGGGAGACTTTCAAAATTCTTTTCCATGTCTGCTTCTCTATCTAGTTACTGCAATAGATGTCTGTTAGGGTGACAGAAGTAATTCTTCAGAGTTTCCAGACCTGGTTCCAAGCAAAAATCCCCTGTGTCAGCCTAGAACTTTAATTATAATCTTATTATTTCAGAGGACAGCAGTGTATTGTTCATGTATTTATTTTGATCATGCTATAAATTTAAAAGGTAATTTTTTTGCGTGGCAGATCTTCTCAGTTGGTTTAATTGTGCAGTCTGATACATCAGAGTACCTGAGTCTGAATTTGTATATGCAGTTATGATCATTTATCAGGAAATATTTTACATGAAAAGCCATTCAAGAGGAAATTTTCACAGAAATATTTTTTTCATAACCATTAGCAACAGGAACCCACGATGAACACAAATACAGCACACAGTCTTCACAGCTGAGTGATAGGACTGGCAGAGGATGACAGTAGTTACTAGTGATTTTGTACAAAGCTCCCTCCTTTCCCACAGCACCACTGCTCTTTCTCTACCTGGTCAGACATGAGGAAGTTCAAAAAAGTGTTATTCAGTGGCGCACTGAAGAAGCCTTGGCTGCTGTTTCTGTGTTGTTTGTGATGTCTGGCATTGCTCATCCATGTAGATGTTACACACTACAGTAACTAGCATCTTATTTGTGCCACGTTCAAGTGTAAGCCTGAAGTAAGTTACCTTGAAATATCAACCAAAGAAAAAGTAGATGAGGCCTCTCAGTAACACTGTTTAAAATTTTAAAATACCCTATTGGAGAGTAGCTGGTAAATTTGACTTAATCTAGGGTGGACTTCTTGAATAGCGATTTGATGAAGTGAGCTGCAAATACAGTAACTGTGAAGAAAACATCACATAGTTGTGGCTCTTTACTACAGTGCTCTCACTGGAATAGTGGGGATCCTAATAAGGATTAAAAATGCATGCAGCGTTTTGTATTTTCTGTGGTGCTCCTGAAGCATTCAACTTTTTGAACAAAATGAGATTTTGCAAATCAAGAGATGCTGTTTCACATACAAATAGTCAAGACTTATTTACTTACTAAGTTTAACTAAAACAGTCAACTCTTGAAATCTGCATTCTGTTTTGGAAAGAGGCCACTTTTATGGAATCCAGTGCTGCAAATTGTGTATTTTGTTTCTGCACAGATACAGTCAGCTACAGCAAACATGGTTTTAACTAGCAAATAGTTGAACATCAGAAATGAACTAGCTTTGGAAAACTTCATACATATTCTGCTTACAAAAGCTGAATTCTTATTCTATTACAAGCTAGCAAATTAGTTTCAGTTTTGCTTTAAAAGGGCAGTAAAAGTTGTTCCAAATGTGAGGGAAATGTTTACAAGAATCCAGCAAAATCCTTAGGATGCTTCTAAAGGGCATGCTAAAACACCAAAATCTTCAATTGTAAAAATGTGTAAATTCAGATACTTTAAACAGAGATTTCTTCACAGGAGAAAATGCAAGTTAATTTAAGGTCTCTGTAAAATGAGCTAGAGATTAATGCTGTAGTAATTTGATGCCACAGCCTTGTGTGTAATTTAAATAAAATGTTTTGATGGATGGTTACTGCTATCTTATTCATACAGTTCTAGAAATAAGTTTTAGTTGAATGTTTAAAAATGGCTATGAAAGGGAAGTATAACAGAGGACATAGCTAGCTTTATACAAAGACCATGAATTTGTGGGTTCAGTGTGATCATTTGGTTACATTAGAAGTAACAAATGAGATTTTCTGCATTTTTTTTGAACTGTTGGTTATAGTGGCTCAGGGTACTGTTATCATCTGGTCAAGTTTCATCAGTCTTTTTGGTATAGGTAATAAGGGTATGAATCAAATATTCATAACCTCAGTGGTATTAACAAGAATTCGTGTTTCCAAAATCTTGTTCCTGACCTGTCTCCATTAAAAAGATGTTTCTTGATGACAGTATACAACGTCTTGGGAGCAATAGGGCAGGTGAAAAGTCTGACTAGGAAGTGTCCTTTGTCCTGTTTTGGTAGGTAAACATGGCTGAAAAATATAAGAACCAACAATATTCAAGAGGGTGGGTACAGAACTAAAGGCCAGGCCCAATGTGGAAGTGTCAGGTTTTGCTCTTCCTTAAGCTCCTTGTGTCCTACAGGATATGGAATGCTGGGAGGTTAGCTTAAAACTAACTGGATCCCATTTCTTCCTTTTCTTCCTCAAACAGTATTTTCTCTAGGTTTTAGAAATAATTTTCTTGTCCCTTTCCTTAGCATCCTCCACCTCCATTGCTGTTTACTTCATTAGCTGTAGACAGTGAGCTCCTTTTCGGTAATCCTTATGGGGAATGAGAAAAGATCCCCTCCTCCAGACGCACATTTGCAAAGCAGCAAACTGCATCCTGCTAGGCTTTATTTTTTTTGCCCTTGCCTTTCTTGCAGCACTATGAAGTGATATACTGAAGAACAGGATTTGGAAGTCAGTTGAGGGATAAAAACATTTAATTCCTTGAAACCTGCAGTCACTGCCCACTGCAAACATACATTAGAAAGGGTCAGCTTTCAGATGTAAATGACAGCCAGGTCTTTTCTGATGAGTCTCACACCTGTTCAGAAGGGGACACCTGAACTGTCAGCAAATCAGTGTCTCCCTTCAGGTAGGGATAAGAAGATGATGAATATCATGTCCTGTAGAAGAAGAAGACCAATGGGTGTGCCCTGGAGTACTGTCTATTAGATGGAAACTTCTCAAGCTGACAATCTGTGAAGTCTAGATATTTAGTAATCAAGATAAAATA